TTGATAGAAATAAACACGAGTGGGCAACGCTAGGGAAACGAACGACCACAACTGGCGGAGTGCCAGCCATCTGAATAGCAGAAATAACGCTACTATCAACATTCCAGGTCACTCTTACGATTATCTTTTTTATTCTAAGTACCGAAGCAAATTATACTGTTTTGATGTATTCAAACAGTCGTTTTGATATTGTAAGCCATAAAAATATTTTTCGGGCGCCGCAATACAAATAATATAAAGTTTTAATATGTATAATGGTAGTAATCGAATAAAAATACCACACCATTTATCGGAATCACGCATAATAAAAGTATTGTGTGGTGGTACTCTTTACTCTTTATTAGGAATACATTTGACTTCCTGACTTTACAATTTCACAACAAGAATAAAAAAAATTGAGATTAATTTGGTGACGTAAATTTTCTATAAAAGTTCATTTACTAAATTATTTAATTTATCATTTTCCATCTACGGAAAAAAAAACACATATATTACTTTCCAGATATTATATAAATTAATAATCAATATGTCAATTGCACAATAATATGTTCTTATGTATGATTATGTACATATTTATAGGTTTTGTTTCCCTTATTTAGGTATCTACACTTTAATTGTGAACTCTACTACCTTTTATCTCCTCATCACCCATCCGGTTGACTAGAATAAAATGCCGACGGCATTAATTCTGCTTATGTACCTTGTCCATGAAATGTTAAATTAAATAAATAAATAATAGAAAGATATAAGAAAAGACTTTCTATCGAAACTGTCAGGAACCTATATTGAGTATCTGAAATATACTTGTTACTTAATTAAAAAATGTAACAGATTACTTATGTACTGATTCTACTTTTATTTGAGTTTTTTTTAATAAAACGAATCGCCATAGGTTATCGACCATTCTATGGTCAAAATAGATTACCATTTCGTGGAACGTGCGTACCACCCACGTAGTGATCCAGTGTGCGCTGTCCGGCATCTAGTAGGCTTCACCGTTTTATAGTGACAATATTCGAACGTATACATTTCGAGAAATTTCGTTATTCATCGATTCCACGATACAAATTATTGGGCACATCTATCTATAACAGAAAAGGTATGCGACTGTACTAATTTCTTTCGTCTGGCTCAAGTTTTCTTTATTACCGACATAAAACTGTGTTTGTTGTAAGTCAGTTTTAGAATACGACCTCATCTCGGTCACAGATTACTCATCGACAATAAACCTAACACGAAGAGGTCGTAAAACTCCAATTTGGAGCTTGCTCTGCATCCCTTGACGCCCGCCTGTGGGAGACGCGAGGCATCCGCGGCCCCATGTGAACACCTTTACTTGAAATCAAACAAAACATCCATTTTGCCTTCCTAGAATACGTATTGGGAATCCTTTCGTTGTAAAATCCTCTGTAGGTTGCATCAACTTATAGTTGGAATGTAATGTCATAGATGTAGGAAACACGCCTTTTAAAACATTCTCATTGGACGCGAACATTGAGCATGAAGTGTTTGATGTGCATACTTTGACCACAATTTGATTCTGACCGCGGGAATAATTCATTTTTATTCAATTTTACGCCTGTCGTTCTTCGTCGAATGGCATCAAGTGAGTTCCCGGCGTAATTTTGGTATATAAAAAATATTATCTCTCGGATGTTTCGTCACTAAAAACACCAATAGTGGATGAACAGACTGGAAATTGCTTATGTTGATTTTTTTTTTGTAAAAAGTCCATAAAACTATGAAATTGACGAAATACAAACTTTCGTCAATTTCGTACAACATGACAATTGTACATTAATATATAAAATATGGTACAAGACGAATACAATATCTAATGGACAAACAATACAAGGAGCATCATAAAATACAAAAAAAATATGCTGTCATGCCAACGATTGGGATAAGAAGATTAACTCCGTTGTCGTTCATAGATAGATTATGTAGGATTATAGTGGGACGCTTCAATATGCAACATAGCACAAACTACTTAGTTGATAGTACCATAGTACCTACCACAATCTTTTTGTAATCGCCGGCACAAGGTCGTCGACCGAGCGGAGGCTGACAGCATAGCGGATGCGCGAGCACCTTTCTCTCTATTACTGGCTCTCCCTTCCTAGTTGTTTATTTTACCACTTTCTTTAACTACTAAGAAATATAATAATAAATCCGCATATTTTATTGCTGAACGTAAAAGCACTTTAAATTAATTCTCACAGCAACGATCGTCTTACTGCTGTTATAGAATTTCAAAGCATATCTAGCCATTTGATATTGACATACGTTGACTTGATATTTGAACCATCCGGCGCCAATAGGTTAAAGAAGTTAATAATTGAAATCAATAATATTAATAGGTATAAGCAATATGTAACTATAATCGTAGACAACCTTTCTTCAAATATTTCAGCTTACATCACTTCCTATTTACTTTATAAACTATTACTGCGAATTTTAAAAAGTATGCACCTACCAAAATATGCTAATGTTATTGTGCAAAGGCCTAAAAAGTAAATAAAAGAAAACAAAATCGGTATTTTATATTTTCAATCTATCTAACAATTTGGAACGATAAAAAATCTCAAGAATTTAATCCCAAATCATAGATAAGGTCATCTTGTGGATATAGGTTAATTGACCTACTGTAATAGTTCTATTCAAAATGTACTCATATCTCTCTACATTAAGCAATATGTAGTAATGTTCCTTGTGATTGTCCTTTAGTACACAAGGATATTAAAAAAGTTACATAAGGATATTAAAAATAATTAGAATAAGGTTTTTGAGTGAAGAAAATCTGAAAATTTACTGTGTTAACTGGAAAATCCAGGAAAAACCAAAGAGTTTATCAAAATTTCAACAGGACATAATATTGTTTTAAATTTTTATGTTGTATTATTATTTCCGCTTAGTTGGGATTATCAACCAGAACTTTCAGAAAGTAGTGTAAAGATTTAAAGAAATTAAATTATTTCCGTTCTCTAACTTTTTATACATTTCAATATGATTATTTGTATTCAAATAAAGTAATAGAAAACCGACATAAACGACGACGACATAATATCGTGATTCCACCAAAATAAGATGTGAACTTACTTATTGTTGATTACTTTTCAGTTTTTTAATAAAAGTGCTGATTGAGTGCTAGAGTCTAAAGACCTTTTCAAACAAAAAACTGAATTTTTCCACAATTTACGAAAATATCGATAAAAAGAAAACTAACATTAATAAAAGCGACAACCATTAATTTATAAAACTACCATTTATAATAGACTTTTGAAGATAACGAGTAAAAGTACAAATTAAAAAAAAAAATCTAATATGAATATTATTTTAAAATTTATTTAATTGACTTGGGTTTCTTTTGTTTATTCAATATGTTTTTATAAGTTTATTAAGTAGAAGCTCAATCTTTATTAGTAACTTTATTAAAATCAAAAGTGAATTAATGGTCGATCTATCAAAGGACGATAGAGGTTCACTACAAAACCCTTTCCAAAATTTTTATTCCTACCCACGCGGACGAAGCCACGGCCGCAAAAATAGTTTTATATGATCAAAAAAATGTAATTGCATTTATTTAAGTTAGGGTTACCAAACGTCCTGTTTGCTCAGGAAATGTCCTGGTTTCTGTGGTGTTTTAGATACTTTATCAAGAACATCCTGGATTTTTAAGGTATTTTAAAATTCGGATGCCGCTTTCTTACTTTACTTAAAAAAATTGATAATCTTGAATTACTTTTTTTTTAATATTTGTACACGATAACTGCTTGAATTTCACTTAACTATAATATTACTGCGTCCTTTGTTTGACTGTTTGTTACGCAAGCAAACGCATTTATATGTACTTATGTGTTGACGAATCAGTTTATGAAAAATGAAAAAAAAATCAAGGTTTATCAGAGACACATTGATGTCGATGACTTTTATATAATATAATCATAGTTATTTTCACAACTGAAAACAAAGTTTGACAAGAAAAAAAAAAAAACAAAATTTTGTCCAATATCCAATGCATTAGATCTGTATTTTAATTAAATTGTCTTTATTATATATATATATATATATAAATCTAAAGATTTGATTTGAAAATAGCAGATGGTAAATTAAAGAATAAAATTGCGCTATACCTATTTGAGTTACTTCATTTTTGAGGATCTAGACTTAGTGGAAATGACAACATCTCAGGAGGATACATCATATCTATTAAGCGTACGCTATCATAGAGTAAGACTGAAATTTAGTGAAGTTTGATTGATTCTTTTTCACTGCTCCCAAGTTCGTACCCAGTGGAAGCACTTTTCATTGGTATTACAGGTTGGATTGGATTTATATATTTTGAGACATGTTTTTACGAATGAAATTCTTTTTTTACGAACTTTTGGATAACTTTTCAAAAGACATTTTCAAAATGTCTTTCGAAAAACAATGAATAAAAGTTCGAAAAATAAGGAATATTCGGCAAATCTTTTTCGGTTTTTTAATGAAGCTCAAATTCAACGTTGTGTTGTTGTTGAGCGTTATTAATTCTTTGTTTAATCTGTTTTTGGACAATCATTACAAAGGTAATTCATAACATTCGGAACAACTACAAAAAAAATATCTTTAATAGAAAAAATTTGCATTCCCTAGTTTCCATTAATTGACCATAACAGCGTAATATAGGACACTTATTTATTGGACAAAACTTCCGCAGGTTTAACTATATCGCCGTATCATCTAAAAATTCTTGTTGGACAACTTTTGTTTCGTTTTAGTTTGGAAAAACTTATGAACACGCCAGTTTTTAACATATACTCGAATCGCGGTATTTTCTTTTTATTTTATTTCAATTATTTTTTATTATATCTATGTAATAAAAAATAATTAATTAATTAAATACGCCCGTTAAAGATAAAACAAGTTTAAAGTTTTGAATTGCGGGCGGAATTCAAAATGCATTATGGCAGTAAAAGAAAGGAACGGTCTATTTTTTTGCCTCCATTGAATTAAAAGGTCTTCTTGTGAGAGTTTTTATTCTAATTTAAGGTTTACGCAATTCAGGTATCTTTTTGTTAGTTACAAAGTGTACGGCGACTTTGCAAGGGTCGCTCGCCTGCACGGCCACGCACAGCGCACTACTACACTACAGCCCTCCTCGTCCCTGCCTGCGCCCGCTTGCCTCGTGCCTCGCTCCATCCATCAGTCAGTCACTCGACAACACGCGGATTGGACGTTACTCTCTCGTTCTCTACCGGTTTGTTATTCACGCGGACAATTGGGTCACGAGTGTACGATACTTAAACGTTGTAAATTTACCAAGTCTTGTTTAGTGAATGATTGATTGTTAACAGTGATAGTGAATCTTGATTTTGTGACAAAACAGCGGCCCTTTTGAAGTGTACGGGATGCGTGCGTGAGCGCAGCGCATGACGTGCTACGAAACGTTGAGAGCTCCGGCACCCGCCGCGGACGCCCCCATGGCGCACCACTTTGTCAAGTGGTGGCGCAACAAGTTTAGAAATGGATACAAGAAATTTAGCAGTATGTACACTACTTTGCGTTGCATAAAATACCATTAATTTCGTACACATATTATAAAATTAAATATTGTATTTTACTGATTTCCGGCTGTTTGACTATAAAACAAACCTTCCGAGATGGATGATGATATCTGAAACTTTTGAATTCAAAAAGATACTATAGGTAAGCAGAGGAAGTTATTGTTTAGATAGGGATATACAGATAGATCGTTGTAGATACTCTTGTTGTGGTAGGTAAACAGATCCACCAATCAATCAAAGCAATCCACCATAGTTTGCAGAATAAAACCTAACCATAAGTTTTCCGTAGATAATTTGAGGCAAATTAAATTTAAAAGCATTAAAATTTACACGTCTGAAATTGATATGGCCACACTTTTTTAGTTTCGGGTAGATTAGTAAAATGTACCTCATACAGTGTTTTATAAAAGATAAAAAAAAGCCTTTATTTAGACGGTAACAACATTAGCTTGACTACAAAGTTTTCCTTCGGCACTTGTGTAAGATATTTATCTAAAAAATTGGTAAAATTCGACACTACATTAATAGTAAACTTAAAATACATACTAAATTTGTCAGTTCTCAAAAAGTCCCTACAAATACATACCTACTTCATATTAATTAAATTAAGTTTAAAAAGCAAATTAAAAAAAATATGGCTTTAGTAATGCCAATTCTATATTACACCTTCCTACCTTTAAGATCAAAGTCAACAAAGACCGCCGCGGCACGATTCAAAAACAAAATGATAATAAAAAATCACAGCGGGAGGTTAATCCGAGACAACAACTTGAAAAATTATCTCTCTCGGTTCTTAGTAACGCCGACATATAAGTAGGTATTTATTTAAATGTACAGGAAGTTTATATGTGTTAAAGTTGTCGACAACTTGTTTCTATATCTTTCATCAGTATTACTTTCATTGCGACCTTTAAATGTGCATTAGAAAACTAGATTCCACATATTAGCAAGTGATATACAACCTTCAGGGTTTTAGGTAGGTTCAAGGTAAATTACCAGAAAATTATGAGAGGTGAATGTGAAGTAACAATTAGTAAGCAATGTTCTAAAGAGTATTATTAAAAAATCTGCATATTTGGATCGAAACTACGAAACAAATGTGATCGTAAAAACAAATTTTACCTTTAAGAAATCGCATTTAGAAACTGCAAGTGTGACAGAACGTGAATTATATCTACGATGATTAATAAAATTATTAAAATTGAAAGATCACAACTTTCTTGATCGGTATTGAAACTTATTCCTTTTAATCATTATCAATATATAGAAAATCAAACTAGGAACAATTTTAATCACCTCTTTGTTTTTCTACTATTTCTTTTTTCATACTCCAGATTGAAATTTAATCTAGAGAAAACACTATCATTGAAGTAATTGAAAGTAAATGTTACGTTACAAGAAATAACTTTACTAAAACATTACGAAAATTCAAAATACTAATCTTAACTAACTCGTTATTAAGCACACCTAGTTATACAATAACTTAACATAAAATTATCACTTTTTTGATTGCAAATAAATAATCGCCTCATCCACTTGAGATACATCATAAAATTAATTAAATACCTATTATATGTTCCTTTGCTCGTCTTGTCATTTCAACTCGGGTAAAATTGATCATCAGCAGGTATCTTAAAAGGATTTTCGCTGAAGGTATTTTGCAAGTTATAATACCTACTCTCTACACCAAAGTTCATTGTGAGATATTTCCAACTTACAAAAACATTTTCCTATAAAAAAATGCTGTAGGTGTGATTAAATAAAATTTATTTGGTTGATCGGAGGCGTTAAAACGTCAAGGTCAAACAAACCTCTAAGGACGAATTAAAATTGAATCTAGTAAACAATGATTGATTAAACAAATAATATTGATGATTGTTTCCAAACCAAAAAACCAGCACGAGTCGCCGTCGTTTTTAAGCATCTCATAAAAGAAAAACTTACGACAGAAATATTTACATTGAAATGAAACGTAAATAAAAATTTGAAACTTCCGCTCTTCAGAGACCAATCCAACATCAAAGTGAACTTTAGAAGCGAACAGAGGTCGCTTTGATGTCTATTTAGTTACGAAATACGCAGACAAAATACTTCAATTTAGAGACAATACCTACCTAGTTACAACATCGTTCGTATTAATATTCCCATATAACACGTCAAACCCGCGAGGCGAAGTTTGTTAATAAAGCTTTGGATGTAAACTGAGTCGCACCGCTCATTTGATTAACTTCAAAGGGAAAAGTTGAAAGCATGTCGCCGAAGCGGAGACAATGATACCTTTTATTTGAGATCAAAGAAGTTCCCGCCCCTGGTTTTAAGCTCTTGTGACGGTACGCTTTGATATTTTGTAGCAGCGAAACATTTATAGAACTAACAAATAGCTTTTTGAAAAGAATTGTACTGAAGAGTTTATCGATTTTTCTACAAAATAAAAAATAATCTATTTGAATTATTGTCGTGACTCTAATTATATCGGTTAATAAAGACTTATAAATAATAATTTGGAGTTACTTTAAACATAGTAGTTTCAAAGCAGAGTTCGAATTATAACGAAGGCAAAAAATGGCATTAAATTTAATGAGCAACATCGGATAGATGAAAGGAACTCGACGAACAATCTGAAGCCACGCACAGTTCCCGTCAGCGTTGGTCGCGCTAGCCACATTCCTCCGCTTTGATTTAGTTTATCAAGGCTATCACATTACGATCCGTATAGAGGGTCCGGCAGCCTTTATTACGATGCTTTCCGTGTCACTATATTGCTAGTATTTTTACTAATAGTACTTAGGTACGGAGAGGATGATACAAAAATACTTGGAAATTCTTACAAGTAACTTTAATTCGGTCAACCTAATTAAAAAATATTGTAAATAAAAAAAAAATATATTGAGTTTAAAATATTTTTTTCGAAAATCGTACTATCCACGTTTCTCTAAATGCTTTTCCATATTCATCTTGGAGATAATACACCTCGCACATGGTAGTAGTAAAAAATCTCGACTCTTAGATAAAAAAGGTTTTGTTATTCTTTTCATATATTCTAAACAAGATTAAATGTAAACATTAATATTATTATAAGAAAAGTTAAGTGTATCAAAATTGTGGAGACTGATATTGCGCTAAGATTAATCAAAACGTAAGTCAAACCGTATTAATATTGGCAAACTACAGATGTTACTTAAAGGAATCGGAACCTTTTGAGAAAAATAACATTAGCGGCAGATGTGGCGTGGCGGAGGCAGAGTATTCGGGTAGGGCGCTCGTGGGCCTTCCAGGAAATAGACTACGCGCCGCCCCAGGCCCGCCGCGCCGGTCGCTGCGCACCGATCCGATCTTTTTGACTTCGCCGACAACTTATTAGTATATTTCGTCGTATTTTACTCGGCCATTGTACTTGTTTGTATTGTATTCCTTTTGCCGCGATCACAATAACCGTAGTGGATAGAGGCCTATAATTCTTTTTTTTACGGTCCACCTTTTTCTGAGAATCTGACTTATGTGTAAAGTTAGTAATTTCGAAAAGTTTTATGAATACTTTAAAACTAAGGAGTTTTAAGAGTGGAGTGCAAAGAGATCATTAATGAAGGTCGTCCGTAGTCAAAACAAGTTTTAGTATAAAAAACTGAGCGCGAACTTTGTTCATAAAAGTTAACGTGTTCGCATTATTTAACTACTTATACTTTAATTAGCAACTATGTTAAAATATTTATTTTTGTTTTTCCAGTTGGTACAGAGAGTGAGCGGACAGACACAGAAGAGCTGGTTGGTCGTGCAGCGTCGCAATGTTCCGCACCTCCAGACTTGCTACCGAGTGAGGCGCGAGCATTGCTGGTTCCTACTACACCACCGCCACCTCCCCCACGCACGCTACAGCCCCAGGAACCCAAGTGCAAGCCCCCGTCCAAACCACCGTCCCCTGCTCCACCACAAGACCACCGTGACGACAAACATCCAAGACTACGATTTGAGGTACCTATGCACCGTAAACTATGAATCAAAGACAATCCCAATAAAATTGTTTCCTTATCATTCTCATTCGGCAATCTTAAAAAAGTCGTCGACATGAATGAGAGATAGAAAGTAAAAGATAAATACCAATTCATGAGTCGTATCGTAACCGTAATTGTATGAGATTTTATCGACGTCAGTCTTACTTAGTTTTGAGGATATCTTAAATTCTTGCTACAATATGAAGATTATTTATAACTGCTGACAAAAATATTGTTGGTCTATACAAAATGAAGGAAGCCCCTTTGATAGCGAAAGTATATACAAGTATCTTTATCGCTGTAGTAATTCGTAATTCATTGAATAATGAGATGAATCACGTATCGTATCGGTAGGACAACACTCGTACGCATACAGAGGGCGGCGCGGCGCGTTTGGTGCACGTATGCTATCTCATTGATCGTAAAGGCGCGGCTAGTTTCCTTTTATGCAAGAGATAAGACTATAGCTTGTTGACGCTGCACGAGCGGGCAGCGCTACCCATGCGGCGCCAGTGGGCCCGTCGCCGCGAGTTATCTGCCGTACATAATCATAAATACAACGTCTGCACTGTAATTTTGATTCTCATAAGGACGCATTGTATGTCGGTACATGTTAACTTTAGTGAAAACGTTTCAACCACACGAGAAATCTATTCGATGTCATTCGAATAGAATTATAGCTGTAGAATAATGTCATACAAAAGACACCGTAAATTAACAATTTGGCTAATTCAAAATTATCTATCAATTATTTTGCAATTAGCATTTTCTCGTAGTAGTAATGTCAGTCTTATATTTTTATTCGATATTATTGTTTAGCCAATTATATATTTATAATCGGTTGTTAACATATAAAGTAATTACGGAAATAGTATTTATCTTTAATTATCAGAATACGTACATTCTGTCGTATATTGAAATTAAACGAGTCGGATAGTCGTTATTGTTTGACTTATTATAATAAGATTTAAATCCCATTATGAAAAAGCTGTTATTTTATTTTATTAGCCCATAATAATTTGTTTATTTTCATTTAGTTGAAAAAAAAACTAGATATTTATGCATCCAGAAAATACCAAAATAGATTAAAAACTATTTCATTCTCATATTCTAATAATGGTAAATGCATTGTGTAATTGTCTTAACAAAAACATGTTGTTAATAGGAGCTGACATGTGATGTCGAATTGAAGCACCCAGAGCCATCTAAGCAACAACCTTTGCAATTTTCCTTCACTCTGTACGACCTTGACGGCCACGGTCGCATGACAAAAGATGTAAGTATACATGTTTGTTAATTATTACTTTAACCGTTTTATTATAGAGCGAGGACTAACTTTAGTGCCAGGTTTAAATCATTACCCGACCAAATTGAATCAACACGTCTAAATTCGGTGTTTTTTCTTCTGTCATTGTTAGTTTGTTTCTTCTTATTCAATTACTTTAGTCCTCGTTTTATAATAAGACTATAAAAGTATTATTTATTACATCAAAAGGCTCAGAAATTATTTATTCTTTGAACATTGTAGGTTTACTATTTAAAAATATTTAATAAACAATTCCAAGTGTGTTTAACAGTAACATAACCTCAACAAGAAAAAGAGAACCTTTGCACTTCTGACCGTCCTTCAGTCTGTCAAGACCCTTTTCTCAGGAGTGCTTGGAGGTGTCAAGTTGAAATTAATTTCGTGTTTATATTACAAATTTTGACACTTAGAGGAATTAAAACCGGAGGGCTTTCTATTCATGTTGAATTATAAAAATTAAATAAATGAAGATAAACTAGAAAAACGTTAATTTGCATTTATCTTCATCTCAAAAGATTCCGCGATCTCTGTTGAAGTATGACCTCAACAGTTTTCCAACAACAAAGTTAAGTTTGTTTCTTATGAGTCAAATACTCTTAAAATAATAAAATAATATAATACTATCGCGTCGACCTAAAACTATGAAAACAAGAATAGAGACTGATTTCTAGGGAAACTTGCAACATACTCGAGAAATCCGGAAATCTCCAAAAAAGTATGTTACGGTATATAATTATTTCTCTAGGGAAATAACTTTCTCTCTGACTGCCCTGCTAGAGAAAGGCGAAGATATAGATAGATATAATGATGTTATCTTGACATGATATTAGATTTGACATGCTGTATAATTTTATTAATGCATTTGATGAGTATTTAAGTTTCATATGAATTTTTATCAATATTTTATATTTAAGTTAGAATACGCTGGCCATTATGATCCTGACATCTTAATGTACTATACCATATTCTGGAAATTAGATATTATTATTATGTTATGGCTTTATCTATCATACTGCATATACATAAATACATATATAAATACGTATATCCCAGATAGCATTTTAATGCGAGGTATTTTTATAGGATATCGCCGGCATAGTTTCAACAATTTACGAGTCGATAGGAAAGTCGGTCACAGTCCCACATTACGGGTCCAAAACCATACAAGTACGACTAACTGTTGTACCGGAAGACGGAAACGCACGAACGCATCGCGAGCGACGGGAAGCCCGGCGCCGACGACGGAAAGAACAAGCGAACACCGTACATCCCGAAGTACTGGAACACTCTGACGATGAACAACGTGACAGGCTTTCACCTGACGAGGACGCCTCTTCAAAATCTTCGTGTTCAGGGGAAAGAGTAACGCAACAACGACTTAATGTGAATTATCACTCTAGACCTCATCGCAACCATCGAAGGGAGCATCGCGAACGGAAGCATATTAAGAAACGGTCCGGCAGTTTGCAGAGGCGTGAACTGTTAGAGATAATTCAGGCCAACATGGAGAAAAACCACCTGAGCTTTCAAACTTCAAGGTGAGCAGATTATAATTCTTACGAATCCACTGAAAAAAAAACTACTGTTGAAACAGTTAGAAACCCAGACTTTAATTGAAATTAGTGATAGTTATATTTTTCTAACAGCCTGCGTCATAAATTATACAAAAAAGAACCATCCAAAAATATAGGTCTAACTGATACACAAAAAAACTAATTCTGAATATGAAGACTAACCTAACCTTGAAGGTGGTTAATAAATGATCCTAACCAATCTCAGACAGCGTACCTAAATTTGTTATTTATTATTAATGACATCATTGTTTGAGTCATAAGAAAAAAAAATCATATACTTATATACCTACTTGACATTATATCTTCTTAATTTACAGAAAGCCCAGTGAACACGTCGCTAATGAAGAAGAAATCACCAGTAAATACCAAAAGTTAAGGAACAGATCGTTCACCGTAAGCGAGAAACCAGTGAATGCATTCCAAAAAATCAAAACGGAGAGTCCCGGCCATGGATACTTAGATTTGGCTAGCGGAGGTGATTCCAATTTGTGTAGATATGACAGATATCTACATGCGGTGATATGCTCTTCCGCGCGTCATGCACATACAGGATACCATCAGAAACATGCTCAAACACCACGTACACCTAAAACGGCGCAAGTGCATCATCCACGATCACGCTCCCACGATTTACCAGGTCAACTATCCACGACACAACAACCGAGGGTATTACAAATCATATTCTTATAGGGCACGAGAAAGGACACTGTCGGCGACGACTTTGTCCTTTTTTACCTTCTAGAATAATTTTCAATCATTTTAAATTTACGAGTTACCAAATGCTATATTAAATATTGTAATGTGTAACGGGAAGTTTATGCATAGATAACATGTTAAAAAGGTTAAGAACACATTTCAAAACGCTCTTCAATTTTTTGTAACGTGATGTTCAACCTTTAGACTTAAACGTGTAAAAATCATCTTGTTTAAAATTGATTCAACATTAATTGCTTATAAAGCACTTCTAGTTATTATAGTCGATTATAAATAGATTAAGATGACATGAAAATCAACTACTTTGTGAAGGTGCCTTAATTTTTATAATGGTCAAGACAATCAAGAAAAGAGTGAAATTTTCTTAAGATTTTAAAAGAAAGAAAGAAATGATTTATTAATTTCGCTTATGATAAAAATAATGATAAAGCATTATAAAAATAAACATAACGAAAAAATGTTACAAAAAAAATGTAATGTTTATGATTTTTATGTGTTCAGGGGCCAAACAACAAGCTCTTATAGCATTGTTTAATCTGTGCAGCAAGCGAGACAGCGCTATTATTCCGTATCCGTCCCGCTCGCTACACGGATTGAACATTGTTTTGAGAGATGGTAACCCCCCAGGCCTCGATTTCTCAATGTTGACACCTGGTAGTTACGAATGCTCAGTATAATAATGTACCTTTTGTATAACTCTATCAAGAGTTTCTAGACTGATTTATCTAAAACTAAGTATAAGTGTTCGGAATACAATAGTTTATAATATTGTTATGTTGTATTTCATTGTACATAATGTCTGTTTATATGGTACTTATCATTCGATTGTTATTATAAAAATATAGCGTCTATTCTTTAAATTTTGTGGAAAATCTTGCTCCTCTGTTGCATTACCAAAATCAGTATTTATTAATCTAAGTGAATGAATGAATCTCTTAATATGTTAATATCTACCTCTTAATTGACCTTCATTATTAATTTATTGACGTATGCATTACGTATTTTTTAGTTTAGATAGCTATTGTGATAATTCCTAATTTAACTATTATGTTCAAAGAGAATATTTGGCCCATGATATTAAGGTGTACCCATTGTATAATATGAAATGTACAAAGTGCTCGTTCTTGTCAAAATATTTATTGTAGGATATAATAATGAGATTAACTTACAAAACATATTCTTTCTTTGATTTCTTTACCCTCATCCTATTGGCCTCCTTCGTATTAATAAATATATTAAGAACTAGCTTTCGCCAGCGGCTTCGCCCGCGTCGACTCTAGGTAAATGTTTAGTGGGATAAAAAGTATCCTATTATCTAAGTCAATTAATACCCTATCTGTATACCAAATTTCATCAAAATCCGTTCAGTAGTTTCGGCGTGATTGACGGAGAAACATCCAAACAAGGAAACTTTCACATTTATAATATTAATAGGATAACAATAACACGATGGCCGTATTCGCAATGCCGTATACTTTCCCTTGGCAAACCATACTTACTAACGGCACAGTCAAAAGGCGACATTTTTAACTGAAACATTAACAAAAAAATAAATAAAAAAATGTAGGAATTCCCTTCGAATTCGAAATGTGTCGTAGTTTAGTGTAGAAATTCTACTAATTCAATTTTTTTGTATAAGAATATAAAACGAAATCGATTAAATATACGTGTCTCAGATATTGTCTATGTGTTTTCGAAACTTACTTCACTTATGCTACGAAACGTTTTTTTGAATTCGGATATCTGAGTGAATTCGAATGCACATGATTTTTGGATTTTTACAGAGTCGCAGGGCTGTATAGGAAATGTTACTTTATCTACTGGCTTAAACAGATAACGGTATCAAATTTTTGCTACTCGATTTTAAACCTTAATGGGTTGTATGTAGAGTTAAAAATCAGTTGAGTAAATTTGCCATATTATGGTACCCTTAAGCTGCTACATGCGGCATCATTTTGACAAATCAGTCAAGATTTCACTACGAATATTACTCGTTAGTTAAGTACTTGCTTCACAAATAAATACATTCTCACTTTACTTAAAATTCTGTAATTTAAAAAAGATTGGCAACTTTTAAAACAATTTTTATGAAATTAATATCGTATTGGTATATTCTTAATACAAAATGCTTAAAGTATCCACTTGGTCCCTGGCACCCTGAGATGGGATTCGAACCCACAACCTTTCGCAATCCGGGCGACTGCTCTAACCGCTGAGCTACCCAGGACCTAACAGGACTGACAAATACTTTTCATATAGCATTGTGAATGCGAAATTGATGAAATATAATAATTAGAACAAATTCTCATCTTTACCGAAAGTTTCAATAATTGTAATAATATTTGTTTCGGAATATTCGTAAAAACTGGTATTCAAATCGTCGTATGAATGGTGTTGTACGCAACCATGATGGGTGTGCCCTCCGAAAGCTGCACTTGGTCTGATCTTCGATACGAGGTACCGCGTCGCTTCTTTCGACAGCGCATCAATCTGTATTCGAAATGGTTTATTTCTCTGGCAGCGGCTTTGCATGAGGCTCGGTACAATCAGCATCAGAAACTCGACACAGTGGAATATGCTATTGAGAAAATAAAGGTACACAGTGAGGGTACATATGTCAGTAAACACAATTAAACGTGTTGCGAGTTAAAGGTCGTTGTTCCTGTGTTTCTCTCCTCGACAACGCATAGTCCAGTTACACTGCTCGATGGTGAAAGTACATGGAGTGTTGGTGACCTTTGCAAGCTTATCTTATTGGTCGATAAAACAATAAAAGCGAGAAGCAAAAATCGCCTGCAACACGCCGCACGCGGTCGCAATCAACCAGTGTACCTAATCCATAATATTCCTGTTACTCTCCAAGAGGAACGCATAGCTCAGCACATTGTTCGGTGGGTTAAGCACGGGGCTCGCGGGCGACCTCTGTGCGCTCATCTCACTGGTAAATAAAACAATGAAAGCGAAGAACAAAAATCGCCTGCACCACGCCGCAAGCATATGCTATGTCATCTACCAGTGTAATTGAGCCATAAAGGTACCCCAACTGTTAGCACGTCAATACTGACTGATGGTGATCTATATTATAAGCAGGAAAGATTTGGTTGTTTGTAAGTTTTGTTTATATTAAAGGGTGCGAAACTACTGAAACGGTTTAAAAAATATTTCACTTATCAGAAGGTACGTCGTATACGCAGATGACTAAGGCAGATGAATAAAGTTATGCGGGTGAAGTCGCTGTAAATCAACTATTGACTTATAAATTAACTAGATTTGCTTGGCATTAAGAGGTTAATTGAAAAAAGAAACACTTTTCTTGATTTGTAACATTTCATTGTAAAACTTACAATGTGAGTGTGAACATGCGCTTTCTTGTTTTTGAGGTTTTACCAACAAAATACGAGGGTGGATTGAAAAGTTTGCGGCCTCAGCAAGAAAACAATATAAAATATAAACAAAAGTAATTTTAGTTTTCCACGTAATCTCCACTTAACTCTATGCACTTCTTCCATCTGGTTTCCAACGCCTGTATGCCGGTCATAAAAAAAGTTTCTTCAAGGCCTTCAAAAAAGTCACCCCCCGCAGCTTCGACTTCCTCATTTGATGAAAATTATTGACCTCCAAGTTGTTTTTTTAGGTTTGGGAATAAATGAGTCTGAAGGTGCCAAATCAGGGGAATAGGCGGGATGGGGCAGTATAATTCAAAGTCACTATTACGAATTTGAGCCATAGATTCATCAGACGTGTGAACGCGTGCATTATCCTGATGGAACAACACATTTTTGCTGAGTAATCCTGGCCTTTTCTCTTTGATTGTTTCGCGCAAGCGACGTAAGAGGGTGCAGTAATAAGCCCAATTTATAGTTTCACCTTTTGCAAGGTAGTCCACCATGATGACACCCTTAGCATCCTAAAAAACTGACGCCATCACCTTGCGAGCTGACAAAATTGTTTTGGCTTTTTTTGGAGTCGGTTCATCACGTTTTTTCCACTGCTTGGATTGCTGTTGACTCTGGGGTGTAGTGGTGTACCAGTTTCATCCATAGTTACAAATCTGGATAAAATCTAGTGGATCGGCCTCAAACATTTCAAAACAGTCGCGAGAAATCCTGAGGCATATTCGTTTTTGTCTGCAATCTTCCTGATGGTCGATCTCCGATCTGTCAATATCATATCACAGATTTTCCTGATGTTTTCTTCGGTCGTAGACGTCATAGGCCGGCCAGAGCGAGGGTCATCTTCAATACTCTCTCGTCCGCGTTTAAATTCAGCAACCCACTTTTTCACAGTCGTATACACGTCGTATACGACTGAGCAGATTCCTCCAATGTTGTTGACATATCTTCGTTAATCTCTTTTGGTGTACGTGATGACCGCACGTTGCTCAATTTTCCCCATTCTTTAAAATGCTGCATAAAGGCTTACAAAATTCAGTCTAATTTAAATACAGTTAATGCTATTGCGATAGAATTTTACAATTTGACAACCAGAGAGTAAACTAATCGAATGAGCACAGTAACATTAAAATAGTTTAAGTATTACGTGTTAGGCCGCGAACTTTTCAATCCACCCTCGTAATAATAATAATTTATTTTCTCCAAAAACTTTTTCACTTAAACAATTACAACAATGTGCTAAGTGTCATCACATCATAAACATAGTTTGAAGGAGACTGACATCTAAACTAGGCAATAAATTGCTTGTATTTTAAAATATTAGGCCCCCTATCCTCGACAGTTTGTGTAGTGTTACCATCTTGTGCCTGCGTGCATGCGTGTGCACGCAGGTGTGTGTGTGTGATGTATTTTATATTATTTAGTCATTATTTTTTCAGTATCATTATATGATTGACTTAAGAGCCATTGTGTTCTTCTACATTTTAGACTTAAGTTTTAGTTGTCAGTTAATGTTTTTACTTAAAAATGTGAATTGTGGCTTATTTTATTTCTTGTATTTTCAAACGCGCGCGTCCCTTAGCATTTGCTATGTGGCTAATCCGGCACTTTAGACGACACCTTATATATATTGCACAGTTGAATGCAAAAAATTATCCATTATAATAAAATAAATACTTACTCAATATTCTTCAATAATCTACGTGATGGACACGCAAAAAGACATAATAATATCATGGTTAAATGATTCCTAATCGTTTGTGTAGTGGATCTATCTGCCCTAGACTTAGGCAGATCCACTAACAAGCCTGAGTCTAAGATATAGTACCTCACTGAAAGTATTGCAATAAATATTCAATTATCCAATACAACACCACTTCTAGTTTGTGTATCATAATAATAGCTCTAAACGCCTGCTGCATCTGGAATTCTCGTCTCCATTTATCCAGCCAATGCCCTTTCCTCGGGTCGAGCAAACGCGTGTCATCTAATATTACCGCTTTTAAGCTATCATTTGGTTTATTCACTAATGACCATACACACTTAAAACAATAGCAATGTTATCCTTAATCATTATTTAACGACAATTTAATGGCATTAAAACGAACGAACAACAAGCACCATAGAAAAAGGCGTTCTTCTCACTGCTTGTAAGGCTTAATTTTACGTGCCTGTTCACAAAAGCTCTCAATGTATACGTACTCTTATATATGAAACGACAATAACGAGTCGTTGGAATTTCAATAATCTATCCACCAATAAGAGCTCTTTCGTGCCGGTCCAAAAGGTACAGAGGGAAAGTGTTTGCGATATGCAAACCGAACAGTAACTTTAAAAGAAAAAAGAAAATAATGGTCTATGATTAGCCTCATTGAATTTATTTGTAAAAATCGTACAACAGAAATGTTATTAGTATTTATTAGTAGAGACGTTCTAACAAAATTCATGCCAATATCATAAAACTTAAAAAATACGTTTTCTTCGTCTCCCACTTAAGGCACATGATAATAAGCTTACAGTTAACAAAGTACCATCTAAAAATACATTAAATAATCACATAAAAAATATTTGGTGTTGGACTAATACTTCATAATTTCATAAAAAAATAAATTAAAATAATCACAAAAATACTTATAGTTCATTAAAAACTATTTCCAAATATTGTTAATTTTATATTTCATTTAATTTGTTATGGTTTTTGCCACCACTAATTGGTTTCCTTTATTTATGATTTTTTTTGTATAAACCCGAATTCTTAGATCCAAACGGGTAAGGGTCAAAACAAGCTTAGCTTTTGGAAAGAGAGTAGCAATTGCTCAGCATACATTTTTATACGAAATCAACATCATTAAATTGAAAGTTATTGAATTTAGAATTTACCTCACGCATAGCTGTAGTTAATTTGAAAGTTCAAACGATTTTTTTTGAAGATGAAATTGTTTTTGCTAAGTGTATCGTCATTTTCGAAAAAATATTTTTCATTCATTAGAAATTGGAGACTGCCTATGATACTAATATTATAAATACACAAATTTGGTAGGATGGAAGTTTGTTACTCTTTCATGTAAAAACTACTGAACGGATTTTGATGAAATTTGGTATACGGATAATTCAAAGCCTAAATTAAATTTAAGTGTAGGCTACATTTTATACCACCAAACAGTTCCCTAGGGACCACGCGGGAAAAACCACTGGCGGAAAACTAGTATATGATTAAAATCCTTAAAAAGCAAAAACGAGTGAAAACGTCTTTACAGCCTTTGCCTTTGGCAAACATTATATTTGTCCAATATCAGTAAGGCTAATGTGACTTATACATAAAAAATTTTTTAACATGGAACTAAAATAAAGCTTCAATTATAACTTAAACTTATATCAATATTAAGAGTATTTTCGATGAAAAGTTGTGAAAAAAAAATGTGTAAAATTACAAAGTACTTACTGAATAATACAAAAAAAAATGTTAGTACTTTAAACCTTACCATAAAATTTACTGTTTAATAAAAATATCAATAAATTAACATTAATTTTAGCCTTCCCAAAAAGATCCATAATAGCACAGCCCTCGTATTGTTTCTGTAGTAGGTCTTGAATGTCAACTTCAATTGATTCCATTTCTACACCCATAAATTTAGCTCTAATTGTGAATACGCCGTTGTGATCAGTAGGTGTGATGTCGAACTGTACATTTTTAAATTGATTTGGAGAGAGTCCATCTATTTCTAGAAGCACACCTTTTTCCATCAATTTAGCACCAGAATACTTTGCTGTTAGCTTTGACTTCAACTTTTTGATGTCTTTACCTGGTCTTCTTAAACACGCGTGCACACTTCTGCAATGTTACATAGATAAGTTTTTAACGATTTTCATGTAAAAGAATCATTATTCTAAACTCATTTTGTTCGAGACACCACCTTAAATTCGGCATTGTATCATTTTATGAAATCCTGTCATATGATATTTACAAATGGAGGAAATTTAAAAAAGATATAATCTACCGTGGTGGCGGTGGCTATCATGGAATTACAACAATACTGAATAAAAAATTACAGATCAACTAGGAAACAATTTCAATAGGGACTGGCATTTTTTTTAGTCGCTCCGTTAGGTATTTTGTTGAAGTATATTAAACACGTATTTTTTTTATATTTTGCTCAATCAATAAATTACGGCGATACATCGAGTTGAAATGTCACAGGATCTTACACTTTTGCACATTTCCAACATAGATGTGTCGTCACGAGCATCCTCTCATTAACTTTAATGCCTAATATATACGCCAGTTCTTGTCAAATATGGATGTAGAGAGTAAACGAAAATAAATACATATTATTATTTTCTGGTAGTGTTTAATATACTATTACCGATAATCACACTTTTATGCTTATTATTTTTATAATATTATTTAAATTAATTATGAAAAATACATATTTTATACTCGTTGTCACGTGACCGCAAACAGCGCGTGACGTTACTAATCTCAGAACTTGGAGAATTCAACCTTGTGCATACATAGAACGCTATTCGTTTTAGAGTGCCGTGACGTCATAGCGAAGCCATGACAGAAGTGACGTTTTCGCGGGAAATTTTGCAAATTATATTTATTTTTAGATTGTAACTTATTATATAATGTTATTTTTTTTAAATATTATTTTATATATTAAAAATTAAAAATACACCTCTATTGGAGCAAAAATAAAACGCGTATTTAATATTTTTCTATTATCTGACTGATAGACAAAATGAAATTTCTTTGTTTTACCCAGTCAACATCCCTATTTTTATTTTGACCTATCAAGTGGAACTAAATTAAATATTATATTGCAATTCTCCAGTACCAAACTACATAGATTACTAAACTAACAGCATAATTGTTAATTATTGTAATGTAATGACTATTCTTACCTCTTCCCAGCATGTAGATTGGCAAGACAAGACCTGATATACTGGTCATATGATTTGCATTTTTCTTCATAATATTTAGTTTTCTCATTTAAACTCTGTTTAGTTCTTGTGAGTGTCGCCAAGGCTCTCTTCTGCGCTTGTCGATACTTGCCCTTATTGCAAAGGTCGAGAGCGATCGAAGTTATTAAGGCTTGGTACCCATCTTCTCTTGTGACATAACCTTCGTCTTCTAGCATTTGCAGATTCCGTCGTAATTTTGCAATGTGCTCTCGCAAATTCATAACCTCATCAGACTTAGCTTGACCGGAGTAAATACGTTTTTGTACTTTCTTGGCGTATTGTTCCTGTTGTTCTTTTGTAGTGCCAATACAAAGTGCCTCTAATAGATGTTCACCTGAAGTATTTCAGAACGTATTATTAATACATGCATTAGCTAAATTAAGTTGGTAAGACAGTTTTTTATCATCATAATTTTACATACCATTCAAAAACGGAATTATAGCAACACATAATTCTTTCGTTTTGATGAAGAGTTTGTTCAAATCTGTCATGTCATCGGCTGGTGCCTGAAATTTATTAACAAGCGCCAGGCACACATCTAGTCTAGCATTTTCTTCCATTGATTCACCTAGTTGCTATAAACAAAATATTAAATTTCAATAAAATTACTACACTTTTTGTATGTTCTATATTTTTTAAATTAAATTTAAAACTTACCGTGTCGACATCACGTGACGCGAGTTGAGCAACCGTAGGTACTTCCCCTAGATCATCTAGAAGCTCATTCAGTCTATCCAAGGGATCCGGTGCTATAATATCTTGATATTCAACTAGAAGTGCATGTGTATCTACGATTTCCTGCAAAATTTAGTTTGTTCTCTTAGTAACTAGTGAAGTTAAGATAGTAGCGTTAGAAAATTTGTAATATTTTCACATTATTTAAATAAAAAATACGAAAACTAACTCTGTATTTTATAAAAAAAAAAACACATTTATAATAAACTGAGGTGAATATAACCAAAAAGGCATCTTTGAAGAGTCATCCAATTAAACTATCAAAAAGTCAACATCAAGGTGCATGTATAATTTTAAAAATCTTTCAAATATCGAAATTTCATTTTATACCTGAGTACATGAACAGTAGGATTCAAAATAATTTTGGCAATATAACAAATAGTATATTATTAAAGATATAATAATGACATTTACTTGAACAGTTATATAAATATGAGGATGGTGAAGCAGGGTTGCTTCTGTGTATTCATCAACAGCAAAATATTCCTCCAAAGTGGGGCCGCGACAACAACGCCTGAATAATTCTTTCATTTTCTCATGGCACTCTACTATAAACGCATTCAAGCACTGTAGATGACGAGATTCTTCACCAAACTGTATGGACAAATATTATAGTAAATTAACATTAATTATGATACCATACAGTGTTACAAAATGAATCTTAAGTAATGGGGGTGTAGACAACTTTATATATTTACATTTTTATTTTATAGACATACATGAAATATATCTAAAAAATACTATAAAAATATCATTAATTTAATAAGTACAAATCTAAAAATAAATATCATTTTCAAAATTTACCGAGAAAACGCCACTTCTGCCGTGGCGTCGCTATGAAGTCACGGCACTCTGAAATAAATAACTCCAGGCGTTCTATGTATGCATAAGGTTGTTTTTCTCTAAGTAAGAAGAGCGTGACATGACGCGATATTTGCGGTCACGTGATAAATTTGCGGTCACATGAGCATAAAATATTTGTTTCCTTCTAAGCAATATTATAAATATATTAAGCATATAAGTGTGATTATCAGTTATAGTATATTAAACTCTAGAGAAAAAAAATGTATTTCTTTTCATTTACTGTCTACACCCCTATTAAACATAAATATAGCGAAATATTTAGGCACAGAATAAATTTGGTTAATAAACTATAACCTATATAATAATAAATTATTTTGAACTTATTAACGCGGATAACAGTTTTCGTCAAAACGTCTAACATATTAGTAACTTACTCCTTTTTTAGCTGCAGAGAAATGTAATATTTTTGCTATTGATGCCAAATTTTTTCTTTGATCCGTCGTGAGGGCTGAACCGTTCGCTAGGTTTACAATGTGGAATGCGTCAGGAGCAACAATGGCCGCATTTAAAAACTGATAATAGACCAAATTACCTATGACCTGAAATAAAAACAATAACATTTTTTTAAATATTCCAAATAGTGTAGCTTAAAGTAGATAAATTCTAATCGCGTAGTTAACAGCCAACGACGGCAGTGGAGAGTACCTATGGAGTACTACAAGGCATTCAACGCGGTGACAAGTTTAAAATAAAGTAAGGGTAAATGGTGGATATATACAAAATTAGAAATATGTATAAGTAATTTTTATATGTAGACTGCAGCTGTGCGAGATAAGCCAAGTTGGGTCACTAATGAAAATTACTTAATAAAATCTTTTAACATAACAAAATAATCATGCAGTGCAGTGCAGTATTTCCTAACTTACTTTCAAAATATCTTTCTCTGGAATATGAGGAAATTTTGAAGAAAGTGCTCTGTGAAGAACTCGAGCCATATATGTGATACAGAAAGGATAAAGGTCTGTAGAATTTGTGATTCTATCCAAAAATATTGTCACAACATTTTTGAGTTGAATTAACGCCGTTTCCAATCTGGCTCTCACTTCTGGATACTTTAGAGCTTCTTCTTGAGTCACAGAATATGGCAGGGATCTAAAAATTAACGTTTGCAATTTTAAATCATCATAATAACCATGTCATTACATTCAGGATGTCACACTTACGATATTTGTCCGGTTTTCATTTCACTTTCATTTCTCCAGGCCTTATATATTTCTATTGGCCCAGTTTCTATGTTCAAATTTCTATCATTCAATATTTTTTCTATCAGTGGACCTAGTATAGTTTTTAAACTGTTAAGGCCGGAAAGCTGCCTCGATAGATTAACAGCCATTTTTAATACAATAGGTGTAGAAGCAATAATATCATATGGCATAATCACTTTGCAACTTATTTCCTCTTCCAATGTGAATCTAAATAATTTTAACAATAAATATTCATCTCTGGCATAAGCGCCAAAATTGTATAGACTCAGCACAACATTTTGAAGAAAATTATTGGTTTTATTTTGCGGTATACAAAATAAAAGTTTTGACAAGTATGTTGGATTGGTCTGCAATTCATAAAACAGATGTTGATATCCATCGAGTAATCTTTTACTCTCTTTAGTTAAAGATTTTAGACCTTTAACAGCGGTAGATACTGTCATCAATGAACCCTTTCCATCAGCTTTGTTTTGAAAAACCAACTTTGTCATTGAATTGTGCTTAACCAAATTATTTAATTTCAGGCCATGAGCAGCCACATCTTGTAAAGCAATGCGATTTTGTACAAGAAGACCTATTTTCAAATCCATATCATCAATTTGTTTTGATAATTCTTGATTTTTCCTCATTGATTGTACAACTTCTGATTTCAGAGTTTGTAACTCAATTTCTCTGTCATAATCTTCTGTTGAAAAGTCAAGCATAGGAATAAATTTTTTCACGGCTTTAAGAGGAGGATTGGCGGAGTGGAAAAGAGACGTAAACGCCTGACGAGCTCGACGGCCGCGCCACAAAGCCTGGATTTTTATTATCTTTTTTTCCTAAAACAATAAAAAAATAAATCAAAAAGGTACATCTAAGTAATATAATTGGAGAAAAAGTTGAAAAATAAAAAGGTGGTGGTATAAACGTGGTGAAATTGCCTAAAAAAGGATACCTACCTGAATTTTATACCAAACCCAAGGATTTTGTTTCTTCTCTTGTTTAAGTTTCGTTTCTATTGCTTTCATTCTTATCAATGTCCCATATTTTCTTTCAATTATTATTCTTCTCCACCATGCTTGTATTTTAACAATGTATTTAATATTTTCACTGAAATACTCATATTTTTCACTTAATTTTTTCCTGAACAAATAACCTCTGCAATATGCTTGAAATTCTAAAATACAACTATCTAAAACTGTTTGTTTATATTTATTCACATGATGTTTATTTGTTTTCTCTATTATAGAAACAACATCTTTCCTTGTTAAGTACCGAGCGTAAGGCACGAAATCTTTTGGCGTCGTCCAACTATAAGTGTATGATTCAATATCTATGTATACTGTATTTCCAGCATCTGTATGGCATACGATCCAAGAGCATATATAGTGCCCTCTCTTCTTTAAAGCCTTAGCAAACATTTGAAAATAAATATCCTTACATGTGCTTTCTATTGTTCCTGAACCACTAAGTAAGGGATTAGAAAGAGCATTCCAAAACTCATTAATATCCTTTTTAATGACTGCCAAATTCAAGTGGACTAAAGAATCAGTAAGCTCCTTAACTTTCAAAGATTCTTCATTAACATCATTGATAGTATTTACAATATCATCCAACCATAGACTTTGGGACTCTCTAAGTACAAGTTTCTTTTTCAAAATACGCAAATACAAATGACGTTCTTCTTTATGAAGAGGAGTTTTTATTTGTAAAGATGAACTCTTCAAGAGATTCATTAATCTATTACTATCCTCATCGATGACAGCTTTATTAATACTATTGATGACTGATACCACTGTAAAAAGTTATCAAATTTGTTTAGACCCACACATATTTAATATTGACCTATCTATTGTTAATATTTAATATGTGTGGGTCCATAAGGACTTAACCGTAAGTAAACGGATTACATTAATATCACCATCACTGGTTTATTAACGCCCCCACTGCTGGAGCTCAGGCCTTCCCATAGATGTATCCGAATCAGATCGCATAGGGATTTTAATGTATTTTTATTGTAACCAAAATGGTTGTTAAGCCCTTAAAAACCCATATATACAAGTTAACTTAATAATCAAAATTAACATCCATCAAATTATATATATGGTTACTAGAACATATCATAAAGTTTAAATATAAAAACTTACATTCTTCGTTTTCATCGTCTTTCATATTGACCATATCAATGGTATCACGAATATCTTCCAAAGTAAGCAAAGGGCATGCACACTGTTCTCGACTCTTTACTTGCATTGCAGTTATTAGACTTGACAGATATCTGCGACGACAATGAGGACGTAATCCCTCAATGTTGACTTGATTTGAGTTTAACAGTTTCCAGCATGCTGCCTCATCACCTCTTTCAACAGCCTGAGATATAGCTGCTACTGCAGACAAGTAGGACACAGAGAGGGCAATCTCATTTTCATTCAGATTCTTTTCTAATTCACACTTCTCTAATTTCATTTCTTCAAACAACAAAGGTATGCTATATTTGTCTATTTTGAAATTTAAAGCCAAATGATGATTAGTCAAGGCTTTATATAAATCATCAGGACTACCTTCATCTAGAGCAATGTTTACATAAGCAATTGCATTCTTGTGGTCAACATGTTCAGATGACTTTCTGTTGCCTTCATTAATAAGATTTTGAAATATCTTATGCCAATTTGTGACACTTTCTACATCAATATCTTTGTTACATTCCATAACTTCTCTTACAACATCACAATAAAAATCTATATTATCAATATTATAGTGTTTAATTTTAATCCATTCTTCATTGAACAATTTATGTAAAGCATTTAAATCATTTTTTAATGATGCTGTACATATAGATCTCCACAAATATTTGTAATTGACAGAGGTAATATGGCCTTGTATTTCAACCTGTGTAAGTAATTCATCATACTCATCAGGAACGTAACTATCATTCAATGAATGATTGTGTGCTGCTTTTATTTTTTCATACCTTGCGGCCTGTAGCACATTCTTGTACTCATTTATTAGACGATTTTGTACATATTTCAGCTTTAATTGTGGGTTTAATATAGCTGATGTGATAGACTTTTCAGAATCTAATAACTTATTTAATTCAACTACAGCTTCGTGTAGTGCATTAGAATCATCTGTATTATTTTTAGATAACAATCCCCCAATTTTTTGAAATACTGGCAGTGGATGTTCACATTTCTGCAGGTCTTTTGTGACCAAATCTAGTTCTTCATCTGTAATTACAAATATGATTTCAATAAAACCTAAAGCAGACAGTAATATTTAATCATTGTAAAATCAATATAAATATGAAGAAATAGTTTACTATAATTTAATTTTTCTTTAATTTTCATGACTTGGGTCACTAATATTCAAACAATCACCAACTGATCTATCAGAATTAAAATGAAATGATGTTTTAATATATTTAATATAAGTAGTATATTATAAGAAATAATCCATTATTACCAGTAAAAATTGCCTTCCCAAATACATCATGTATAAGAGGAGCTTTGCCTAATTTAAACAAGTGAGAACTAAGTGCATGAATGCAATATATTACACGAGGCATATTTTTCTTATCATAAATATCAGTTGTTTCAGGTTGAAAAGTCTGTAACACAAAATTAATTATTAGTAAAATAATATATTAAGAGCAAATAATAAGGACTATATATATATATATATATATATATATATATTTACAGGAAAAATTTGTCATTAACACACAATAGTGTTGGTTATGACAAATCTTGGCTACATGGTATAAAATTAAAAGGCAAAACTTCTTATGGAAGATTTATGTTACTTTATAAATCAAAGAAATCCTATGAAAAATGTGCTTGATAAAACTAATAAAATAAAGCAATGAACTTCAAATCATAAATGCTTAAAAATCCACCAGCAGGTTTTCTGAGATGACACTTGAACCTATGCATTCATATTATGACTCCAATTCCATGTAGACCCTTCAGTGAACCTCTGTAGTAAGTATCATGCAATGTGCATATATTTTTTAATTTATTACAATTTTTTAATTTATATATATAATACTTGCCTGAGGTAGTTCAGTTCTTTTCAAAATTTGTAGAAATTTATTAATATTATCTGTGTGTTTAAACTGTAGACCCACAATCTGTATAAAGATAAATTGAATTTAAAATCCAATACAGAAACAAAACAACATTAATGAAAATTAATTCATTATTTATCAATATATTAATTTTTCCATTACACCATACCATACCATGACCTAAGCCAAATATACTGGATTAACAGCATGCTAAGTCCATACCTATATGAAACTAGTTGACCATTATTTTGAAACCATTCTGTTGCCACTAACATTATAAACAAGCACATTACAATAAATCATCAAATAATAAAAGCAATATATGAAGATGTATTACAATTTGAATAAGTATAAGAGCATAATCGGAACAAAAGTATCAAGCTTGAAAAGCTAGGTAGGTGTAATAGAAATGTTGAGAATAATGTTTATCCAAAAAACCACTTTTCATTCTTTGATCTGCACTTGTAACATTATAAAAAAATATCCTAGATTTTTAAACATCATTTGTCCTGTTGAATTAAATGATTTATTGTTTTGGCCAGTTCTTATAGATTTTGGTATGTTTTGTATGATATCTTTAGAAACCTAGCTTAAATTTAAAGTTATAAAAAAAAAATTAACTATGTGTTAAGTACTGCAGGCCAATTGTGTAATTTAAAAATCTATCGCAATCCAATATGTACTTTGGAACAAATGGTGATCAGATTAATTAAGCAACATAATTAAAACTTACTTAAAGTGGTCAAAAGATTGCAGATTGAGTGTTAGAAGCAAATATCTTAAAAATATATATGCATCTAACACTTACCTTACATGATTCCAATTAACAATATTGTTATTTCAATATACAACAACAAAACATTGCAATCACAATTGCTATCACATGTCAAATAGTTGCAGAGTGAAATTGAAATATTTTAAATGCCAAATTGATGGGATAATACAATAGATTATAAAATTAGACAACTAGCCACCAGGATTAATAGATTATTACATTATTGGAAGGATTATTCAAAGAGTAGTTAGAAAAATATTGAAATCTTAGTCTTAAATCATATTTTTAAGACAAAATTTCCCAAACACATTAAAAGGTTCATGGGATTTAAAATTTTTGTATTGGACTTGAACAGTATAAATAAGATATGCACTAGTGACAAAAATATGGTATTCTACTTATTAACATTGTAAAACTAAGCACATGATGTATTCAGTGCATAAAAAATATCTGTTGTATTTGAACTTACCTTATAACGTTTTAGTTCGAGATCATAGATTTTATTGAGAGGTAATAAATCAGGAGCTATAAAGTGCCCAAGCTTGGCTAAATAAACACCATTACGCAAACTCTCTTCAAATTCTGTCGCTGAAGGCAAAGACTCTTTTAGGCAAGCTTCCATCCATATCTTGGCTTCTTCTAAACGGCACAAATACTCATATGCAATAGTTCTTTGCCTGATAAGATCCATTTCCTGGCCTGTCTTCCGAATATCAGAATCACCTGCAAGGATGGAAAAAGTTAAAAAAAAACACTGGAATTGTATGGGATGGATGAGTGTAGAGCAGTGTTTTCTCAAAACTTTAATTATTATTACTCAATATATTAAATACTAATAAGTAAGACTTACAATCGTCAATTCTTCCGATATGTTTAACATCTTTGTTGTCATCAAATAAAACGACTACGTCGTTGCTAGTCATTTTGATATTCTTATTACGGTCATTTGATAATTAGGTACTTATAGCACTAATCTACGATGAAAACAATTGTTTCTTAAAAAGCAAACAATTAATTAACATTTTTCACATCGTTAAACAAACAACAGTTTCAATTCAAAAACAAATGTCAGTTATAATCACAGACTTAGTAGGTATAATACAAATTAGAGATGACTATCTAAAATCGATTATGGAACTAAATATATCGATTTATTTTTAAATCGATATGGAGTCTCAATCAATTCAGTGACTCGATATTTCACCTTAGAAAATTGACATTAGATTTTTTCAGTTTTGGTTTAAAACCATAAAATTATTACAAGAGTATTGAGTAATATGCCGTTTAATGTGATCTTAATATGGGTTACGAAACCAACCGTTCCAATCACTTCGGCTCTCAAGCCAGGCTCTGTGCTGTGGTCTGAGTTTAAAGTCGCAATTGCTTTTGGACTAAAAGTTTGGAATGATCAAAAGATTAATAAAAAAATAGTAAACTTAAAGTAATATTTGCTTCGAAACCTGTATTCCAGGTACTCGAGTACATGAGTACCTGCCAGGTATTCGACTCAGTACCTAGGAAAATTTATCATTACTACTACGGTAGTAGTAATAATAATTTTCCCAGGTACACTGGCACTACCTTTGATACGTCAAAGGTAGTGCAAGTTTGTCACACTGAAAGTAGAAACTTTGATTTAAATTTGCAGCAAGTAGCTACAGTTATCATGGCAAACTTGAAGCAAGTCTTCTTTTTTGATGTATCAAACTTGTTGCAAGTCAGAAACAAGTTTAAATTGCTAACTGGGTATGTACTTAAGCATACATCGCTGCTTTGGAAGAATAGCGTATTATTACCAAATACTATAAAATTGAGTTTTCAACACCATTCAACGTAAAATGATCTGTTTTGTATACTCAGTAAAGGTCGTATTTCTATAACAATATTTTACGGCGTGGCGCTACCGAAAGACTGTACAGATGACGCCAAACAACCTGAACAAAAAGTGTGGTGGTGGGGGAAAGTTTGCGCATGTACACTTACGAGCAAAAAAACCTATGCATTAGAATTTCTTATTCCTACGTTAACTATTTATTTCTGTATTTTTTCTGTCCTATTTGCATGAGTGACTGAGTGGTAAACGTGCACACGAATGATACACGTGAAGTAAGTAGCTGCGTGTATAGTAGTAGTGAGAAATTACGAGCCTCCGATGTCTGTTTCATTGTTTCAAAATCGGATGTTTCTTCTTTCTTTAAAAAGCAATACACATCGTATACCATCTTTCTGGCTTGCCTTTTTAAAACTGTGTTTGATTGTCGACGAGACATATTTTGAGGTCGTGATGTTATTGCCTGCAAGTGTACTGAAGTAGCGATGAGACGTGAACACAAAGCGGGAAGCGATGGTTGACTGATCCACCAATAGCGTGGATTGGCGCGGTCGATGCGATCCTACTTCCGCACGCCGCGCCCCGCACCGCATACCGCGACGCCTAAAATCGGTTTCTGCGCATGCAAGGTCATTTGTTCAAGTTGTTTGGCGTCATCTGTATCCTATTGGCCAATTTTGGGCGCCATTTTTCAAAGATAGCGTTGTATCGCTAGTTGCAACTTGCCTTTAAAAGTGAACATTCGGTTTGTTTTCTGGAATATAATCATATTATACAATAATACGGATTTTTAGTGCGCATTTATCTAGAACACTGCATTATTTCGAGATGTGACACAATTGTTTAAAAGAATCTGCAAGAATTGTTAAACACCTCTCATAAAAAAAGTGTCATTTAGGATTACTACGTTGTTCTTCAAAAGGTAAATAGAACTCAAATGTATTAAAATTAGATATTACTGTTTATAATAAAAAATACGGTCGATAATATTTGTATATTTAAAATTAAAACTTTTTTCTAGATAAATTATTTGGTGATTGTAAGACTATTTTTCGTAATAAGACTTTATCTGTTAAACAATTTGTCGTATTATTGTACTTGACACAGTATTTCAGATAAAAAGCAACTCGAATACGCAATTTTTTTTAATGTCACATACCTAACTAACTAATCGTAATGAGCTTACAGAACCTAATATTTTAGTAGGTATAGGTAGTATTCTTTTTACCTATCGGCTCTTTATAAGTAAGTAATTTAGCTTGCTAATTACTAGTTAGGTACATTCTAGGTATATAGATTCTACTATTACGGTCCTTATAAAGAGTAGGTATTCTAGGTAGCTAGATGCTAGGAAGGTATGTAGATTTAGGTATGTTCCTAAAATCTAGGCCCGATATTATCTACGATAGGGAATCAGAATCGAATACGAGGGTCAAACTGAAAGTTCTTAGAACTGGCCACTTATAAACAATATAATAAAAAAATAATTCTAAAATTTGAAAATATAACTCTTTGCCAATATTACTGAGTATATATTTCATTCATTTGTCATTTGTTTTACGATTTGGCGGCAAATTGAAAATTGTCTGTGTCACGTCATCATGAATTTAACACGAGAAAATTTTCGTGCAATGATTTTTTATGACTTTCGATGTCATTTAAGTCAACAAGAAAGTTATGATAGACTACGATTGGCCTTTCACGATGAAGCCCCATCTCGTGCGACTGTTTACAACTGGTTTAATGAGTTTAAACGTGGTCGCACTAATCTCACTGATGATTTACGTGAGGGACGGCCTTCTACGGCGACGACTGAAGATAACATCTGTGTTGTGCGGCGTATGATAGAGACTGACAAAAGAGTGACCTATCAACAGATTCGGACAAGCTTAGGCATCGGTATGAGTCAAGTGCACAAAATCCTCCACGAACATTTAGCGGTCAGGAAGCTTTGCGCCCGGTGGATACCTCATAATTTGACTGAGGCTCAAAAACTCCATCGTGTGGATTGGTGTCGTAAAATGATTAAAAGATTTAACGGAGGTGACTCAAATGCTGTGTTCGACATACTAACAGGTGACGAAAGCTGGATTTACTGTTATGATCCTAAAACCAAAAGACAATCTGCTCAGTGGGTGTTTCCTTTCGAGGAGTTGCCAACTAAAGTGAAGAGAGATCGAAGTGCGGGAAAAAAAATGGTGGCCTCGTTCTTTGGAAGGATAGGTCATTTTGCAACAATTGTGTTAGAG